TTTTAGAAAATGTTTTAAACTTTATATTTTATATCTTGTTACACATATTTTATACAGTATTTTCAATGGTTGTATAGATCTATGCGTAATTAAAAACAATTATTGTACGTATGAAAGAAAATTTTACGCTAAGTGTATGGTCACCAATACTATTTTTTAAAAATGATTAAAAAAGCGTGTGAAATTTTTCTTAAGTGTTTAGGATGAAAGTCTAAGGCATATGGGGTGTTAACAATCAAAATAGATACTTATAAGAACTTTTTTGTCGAGTTGGGGTTACAAGTATTCGCGGATTCTAACTATTCTCTGGGTACAGAATTCTTGTCCCTAAACCCTTCACTATATATATATATATATATATATATATATATATATATATATATATATATCAAAGTTTATACATTATGAAATGGACAAAGTCCGTCAATTATTTTAAGACATTTTTTTATGTTTATACGTTCTTTTTATAGCTACAAATATTTAAATAAATGCCCTGTTTATAATAAACATTATTAACGATATTTACCGACCTGAATATCCGCGAAATTTTCATAGAAAATATGTGTCCTCCACAGAGGAGTTTTTGATTAAAACATCTATTTTATTTGTTTTTTAACTTACAATTCTCCATGATTTATGAATGCAAGAGAAAATCATGGAGAATTGTAGTTTAAAAACAGCAAAATCGACCTTGCTGACGGAAACGCTCCTCTGTGGCTCAATCGGTAAAAGGCACATTAGGCTATATGGCGTGTTCCGTAGAGGACACAGGTTCGATTCCTGTTGGAGGACGCATTTTTTTAATGAAAAAAATAAAGTTTATGTGCGAAGGAGCAAATATTACATAAAACGATGATAAATAACTTCAGTTTGTCATTTATTCGTACGCACTATCGAATGCAATGTGATCCAGAATTAATGTGAAAATCTCACAAGAATTGCCAAGTTACTTCTGCATCCCCTCTTTAGGAAACCTTAGGCATCAGGTATTGACTTTAATTCTTCCTCTCTTCTTGCTAAGCGGGGAGTACTGCCAGGTGAAGTGGACGATAAAAACACTCAGCATATGAAATGCGGGTTCGTTAATTTATATCTACCAGTATATATCTTACCTGTCTTGGCTGTTATTGCTTAATGGCGATAACTAATTTGCTTATTCAGTTCAAAATATCAAATTGTTAAAATAATTGGATTTTGTTATTCATTTGTAAACTATGATCATTCAAACTTTATAAATAAGATATTTCTTTGTTGATAGCTTTTATAATTAAATTATTCAAATAAAGCCATTTTCTTCCCTCAAAATGACAACCACCTAAACATACAGATCACAGCTTGGGAGTAAAGTGAACAACGTTTACAATTTTAAAAATACATTTTGAAATGTTAAAATAAGAATTATATTATCATATTGTGTATATCAAATAAACGACTAACAAAATATTTAAACTTGTTGAACGGCTTTAATGATGAGTAATTCATTAATACCATTTTATGGCATTCATAAATTTCTCAAAGAAAGAAATGTAGTAAACAAAAAAAAAAAAACACGCGTGTACGCATGCGCGATGACCATATGTATCTATGGGCGTGCCATTAAAGTTTTAAACTTAAAATAAACCAGCGTAGATGAAAATGTTTCACGAACAGAGAGCTGAAAATAGCCTACCAAATACTGATGTAAATTCAGTTTGTATTTTTACTGCTTCTGACCATATATATACATTTATAAAGATTATATATATATATATATATATATATAGTTTATGAAAAACTAGGTAATCCGTATGGGTAAACCTAAGGAAGATAAAATCCAGAGAGCTCAATGTAAATCCAGAGCAAATAATTTAAATAATCTTTATGAACCCCCCAAAAATAACACTTTCAAAGTAACGCAAAATAACAGCGTCTGTTTCTAGCCTTTCTTTTTACAAAGAAAATTAGTGGCATCTTCTCTTCTCTTCTCTCTTAACTTCCTTCTCTCTTTTTCTCTCTATGTTTTTTTTTCTCTCTGTGTTTTTTTGGGGTTTTTTTCTTCTCTACCCCTTCGATATTAATATATAACTTCCGTTAAGTTAACCGTATAAATGTGTCAATATCTGCTAACTCACTCATGTCTTCTCTCTCTCTCCCCCCTCACTTTCTCACTTCGTTAATTTACATATGTTTAATACGGCCCGTCAAAAATGTGTAAATTTTCTTTTCATTTTTTGTTTGGAAATAAAGTCTGATGATCCGCAGTCCTTTTAAAAGGGCTGTGGTGAAATAATTTATTACATGGAACCTTAAAGTGGTCTGTTTTTATTTAATATATATATATATATATATATATATATATATATATATAAAATATATAAAATAAAAATTTTTATCCTGCTAACCTTGACATAAATCCATAATGAGATCGGACTCAGTAGCCAATAGTTTTATGCTGGACAAGCAGGCTAATCATAAAATCAAATGACCTCCCAGGATTTATTACCAGCAGACGTCACCTTAACAATAGACATTACGCATATGTTATTGTATTAATAGCAAACTCAGGAAGAAAACTGAGAGAGCGAGTAGACAATGTAGACGATATGAACACAAAAAAAGGATTACCCATCAATTAATTTGCATCGTTGTTAGCAAAAGGAACATCCTTAGATATGAGTTATGCATCGGGAACGTCAAAATTTGGGCGGTATAATACACAACGGAAAATGTTGTTCAAGAATTCTAAGGCTATAAGGAATAGCGAAAGATGCTTTTCAGAAACGTATTACAGGAATCGAAAAATCTCTTCAGAAACAGAAGAATGCTGGACTCCTATTATAGGAAATAAACTTGATTTCCAACAAAATTACGGTCAATACGGATGTTTTTTATGGAAGAGCAAAGAATCT